ACACAGGAGCTATCAAGACCCAAGCAGCCAAGGAACTCCAATTTCCCCCAAAGGAGAAATCCCCAGAGGTAACAAGTAATCAGGGTAAATATAGAAGCCGGATCTTCAACAACAAATCAAAGATCAGACCTAAAACAGGAACTGGGGAGCCAATATAGCACGTCAAACAGTAAGAATCTGAATCAGATAGAGGGACCCCACGTGGAAATCCAAATCCCGAGATAATATTTCCACCAAGGTAGTAGGAATCGATCAACTTCAAAAAATACCTCACCTTCTCGGGACAAATTTCACAAGAGAACGACAAAACAGGAGCAAGGACAACTGCAGAAGATAACCGACCTACATCACAGAAAAGAAAAAGAAACAGATGAACTCCCAAACGGGAAGATATGAGTAATGTGTCAGACATATCACCGTAACCCAAAGGTCTCACTCCTCGACAAAGAGGTCGAGCAGGTACCGGATGGTAAAGCAAAAGTGGAGACGCACCAACAGGACGAGCTTAATCTGAATTATACAGAAATTATTGAGCAACCAGCCGGGTCATCTCCAAATCCGAAGATGTAACAAACGGGAGAGGACGAATCACGATCCAGAAAGATGAAAAGGAAGATAGCTTCCACAGTGAAACGGGGGCACCCCCAAGAAGAAACAGACCCCCGCCAAAACGGCCGAGGAAATCAAGGAACACTCCAAGACGTTGACTGGCATCTACTTGGTCTGAACGGAGCAATCAATCACCAAGGAGAATTATCCACCAAAACAACAAGTGGACCCGTTTGAACAGGGACCCTGAAAATTGACAAACAGGGACACGCTCAGGGGATTTAAGTCGGGACTCAGGAGGAGAAGATATACGACCAAACAAAGGGCCCTTGACGTAGGAGCCCGTGCAAACGGCACTGATCAAGGTAGGAAGAAAGGAACAATTTCTGCAAATCAAGGAAGGAAAAGCACACATTTCCAATTACAGCCCAAATTCCTCTAATCAAGTCACGAGCGGAGAACCCTGGGTGCTATGGGCCCCGGAAGGAATCCGAAGCAGGAAACAGCAGGAAAAGAGTCAAGGAGAAAACAGGCCAATCAGTAGAAAGCGACCATCTCAGTCTCACACACCACAGCCCAGAAGATTTAGAAGTTAAAATCACAGAGTACCCCCAAATCTAAGATCCATCTGAACAGATGATCCCAAATCCCAAAGGCACCCCCAGTGGGACTAAGTCCTCCTCCATCCAACAGGTCACATCATCCAGGGAGGAGTTCA